CGAAGGCCGGTCACGGTAGCCGAGCGGTCTAAGGCATGCACTGTCTTCGCTCGCTCGGAAGCCGGGATCGTGGGTTCGGATCTGTTTCCTGCGAGGTACGAACTGATTTCTTATATATTATTCTTATACACTGCCGGTCACAGTAGCCGAGCGGTCTAAGGCATGCATTGTCTTCGCTCGCTTGGAAACCAGGATCGTGGGTTCGAATCCCACTCAGGGCATGGATGTTTAGTTTGTGTGTGCGTTTTTCTGTGTTTGTGTACAGGTAGAGGCCTTGCGACGAGCTGATCACCCGCCCAAGGAGTCCTACCGTCTGTGTAAGATCTAGAAAAACCGAAGTTAATGGAGAAGTTCATGGAGGTAGGCCTAGGCCCACTGGGGCTGTAGTGCCAAGGAAAAAAAATGTTGTCGAATGTTGTCTACGAAGTAAATTGATAAATACTAGTGAAGTGCCCGTTGAAAATTCAGTGGGGAAATTTGATGTTTCCCGTCTCCAGCGACTGTTTCTACGTACATACATGTGTATACCCTGTCCATCGTCCAACTCTAGCTTAATTTGAGTCATTTGGGTACAATTTTAAATCATGATGTCGCTGAATATGTGCGCTATATGACATTTTCATACGACACTTAAGGGGAACCACACAGCAACACAAACCTACAACAGAATATTGGCGAATAAACAAGGGAACACTTTGGGATTATATTCACTGACAGATGTGCAGCAGTTTTCAACAGCAATTTTATCGAAACATCTAGTGCAGCTAGGATGTAAAAAGTAATTTAAAATCGTGAATGTTAAGATTTTAACACGTGGAAAGGAAAAAAATGCTGTATGACTTTATCCCGGAAAAACTTCGAGACTGCAATGCCGACTGAAATATAGGTGCATCTCACTGTTATTTATTTCTGCCATTCTCTCCTAATGTCCATAATCACTTTAAATGTTCAAGTTATTAAGATCTAAAACTTCTTGGTTATTATTGATCTCGTACATTTCTCATTGTCTTATTTTTCTGTGAAAACAAATTTTCGGCCCAGTCCTGAGGCCTAGACAGGCAGCAGATATGAGCTAGCTCTGTAGATTGGTCCCAGATACGTCGGATATTTTCATGATGACGAAAGCAGTGTCCACTCTCCACACTCCTGAAATTTTAAAATAAAAGCAGAACGATGGATATTCTCCAGAAGGTCAATAACTGGAGCCAGTTGAATCCGAACACCCACACAGTAAAACACAAACAGTTCATATACATCCGTGACGCTGAATAGTCAGGCAGAATTTTTTTACTTTCCAGAGTTGAAGAGTAAGCCAATCAAGAGAGGGTAAATGCAAGCAGAGCCTGCTTATTATTTTCTTGGCTTCGTCTTCGACTCTGAATATGGAAGTAGCACGTTCTTCTGCGATGTCTTTAACATTTTACCATACTACACGGTGTCATAGTACTCTTCATAGTTACTGTCGTGAGAACGTAACATCCAACAACATTTCACTAGAATTCTAGAGATNTTATTTTTCTGTGAAAACAAATTTTCGGCCCAGTCCTGAGGCCTAGACAGGCAGCAGATATGAGCTAGCTCTGTAGATTGGTCCCAGATACGTCGGATATTTTCATGATGACGAAAGCAGTGTCCACTCTCCACACTCCTGAAATTTTAAAATAAAAGCAGAACGATGGATATTCTCCAGAAGGTCAATAATTGTAGCCAGTTGAATCCGAACACCCACACAGTAAAACACAAACAGTTCATATACATCCGTGACGCTGAATAGTCAGGCAGAATTTTTTTACTTTCCAGAGTTGAAGAGTAAGCCAATCAAGAGAGGGTAAATGCAAGCAGAGCCTGCTTATTATTTTCTTGGCTTCGTCTTCGACTCTGAATATGGAAGTAGCACGTTCTTCTGCGATGTCTTTAACATTTTACCATACTACACGGTGTCATAGTACCCTTCATAGTTACTGCCGTGAGAACGTAACATCCAACAACATTTCACTAGAATTCTAGAGATAACTGTTATATTCGTGTCAATAGTTCCGCCTAGATGTGTGTTGAGCGTGGCTGCTCGTGTTGCTATTCGGATGTCATGTTCTTAATATTCACATGTCCCTTGGCTGTATAGGCAACTGCTTCAACTCTGCAGTTGTGCAGAGAACCCAGCCTCCTAGGCGCTTCACGTTGTGGAATTGGTTACTACGTACGGTCTGACTGCATCCACGAATTCTTTCCTTAAAATACGGACGTTATTATTGGAAGCCTGGAATCAAAGTAAGGCACAATGCTTTACCAACAATGATCCAAACGTTATTAATAGTGATAGACTTATATTTAATTCAATGAATGCCACATATCAACTTATTTCGTTGTGGGTATTTGCTTTAAAACCGTCACAGCCGAAGAGACCGGCTCGTTTGTTAATCAACTGTTGTACCATCTCGGTCAACAGATGGCAACAGCAATGACATTCTGATGCTTGGATAAAAGCCAGCCTTTCACTTGATATAGTTCTCGTACTATTTGAAGGTCATGTTAGGGAAATATTGTGCATTTCTGTTAGCATCTTCATTTAATATCATCAACCTTGACATTTTAGCCGGTAGCTCTGTGGCGGAGTTTGGCAGTCAAAGTAATTCTACATTGTTTTCAAGATATTTCTGTGGTAGAAGGAAGATTATTGTACCGGTCGTTTTCAAATTTCTCATGAGTGGACTATTACCCACTATACCCATTGGTTAGGAGGCAGGGTTGGCCCCAGATCCGGTCCGGAATCTGTGGAGAAGAGAGAAAACTTTCGCCTTCCGGGAATCGAATCCGGACCATCCAACCCTGTAGCCCGTCATAATTCATTTATGTAGAATATATGGGGACAGACGTAAACATTTTGTTCAGGAAACTTAAAGCAAATTACCCACTCAAAGGCATAGACAGTGATGGAAGAAGATGGTCGAAAGATATCTCAGATTAATATAGCGAGAAAATATAAATCAGATGATCCATCTGTGTAATTAAGCATAGGACATGAAAAAATATGTGGAGTGGAAGCATAGCTCCACCATTCTTAACCGCTGCAATTGATGTAGGTGAGTAGTCAGCTTCAAAATTCGGCCGCTTTACCTTCGGAGATCCACCCCCGGGGCTCCAAAACTGATATGTACACTATGAGAAGAGACACATTTCTTTCCTTTGCTCTAAAGCGAACCCAGAATTATCGGTCGTCCAACCGTAGCCTAGCCCCTATAGCGAGTTTGATACTACAACGTCATGTCGAAGAGTTTCGAGGCTAAGAATCGGTCAGTCTCACCTCAATGGCTTTGCGCGACTCCATGTTGAAGACACGGGCCAGTCCACGCAGGTTTCTCCTTAGTATACGAAGGAAGTCCTGCTGAGTTATAACGAACGGCGCTTCTGTCGTCGTGACGTTCTCAGGAAGCTCCCTGCTAGACGCCGGCGCTGTGTAGTTAAGCTGAATTCCCTGCATAACACCCAGCAAAAGCTATGAGCTAGGAAGTGGTAGTGACCGGTTTTAACCATTAAGTTTAATTATTATCCATTGAAAACTTGAAATATGATATTTAAAGAGAAAACACGAGATAACTATTTTTCATGATTATACAGTCGGTAGGACTATTTTGACAGGGGATCAGCCCGTAGCAAGGCCGCTACCCACACAGAAGTCACGCAGACAGACATCTATGCCTTGAGTGGGATTCGAACCCACAATCCCAGTGTTTGAGCGAGCGAGGACGGTTCATGCATTAGACCGCGCGGCCGATGTGATCGGCCCAAAGATCAAGATGCCCTAGGAACCTCTGTGGGAACTCCGAATGGTATTTATGTGCAGGTTTATGCGTATTTTTCTCGTGTATCAAGTTTATCGTGTTTCGGTTGGCTTTCGTCCCTTTACTTACGAATGAATCAGAATGGAGAGATAGAAATTAGGGGCAAGGTGATGCGTGTAGTTTGCTTTACCTGTTTCACTGGTATGATCAGCTTTGAGACGAGGTCTGATATTTCGTTAAAAGCCCTTATCGTGTCGTCGCGGGTCTGAAACAAAAGTCATATAATCATAACACAAGAAGAGAAAGACTTCCGTGTACATCATTAACACTATGTCATGAAGGCGTACTGGGGAGTGGAGGTATAAACTTTGGCACTGGATGGAGCCAAGTAGAATGCTTCACCCTCCGACTGCTTTGCTTCTTAGAAAAAGCCCCCGGCACCCTTTGGTTGGAGGCTCGGTGAGGCCCAAATTTTTCTTTAAATTCTCTTAGTGGGGGGTGGAGTCTAGCTGGGTCCACTCGGCACAGCGGTCACTGATTGGCCCATTGTAGCCTGCCCCGGGTGATTATGATGATGGAGAATTTGGTGGAATGAAGATTGGCAAGGGATCCCGAAGTACTCGGAGAAAACCTGCTCCTGTGCCACTTTGTCCATCACAAATCCCACTTGAGCAGATCCGGGATCGAACCGGGCCACCGCGGTGGGAAGCCAGCGACTACTTACTCGTACTTACTTACTTACTTATGGAGCAGGGCCCTTCTGGAGAAGCTGCCAATTGAGCAGCCACTCAAGAAGTTCCCAGCATTTTATGGAACCCGAAGGTTCATTACCATGCTCACAAGAGCCCTCCATTGGTCTCTATCCTGAGCCAGATCAATTCAATCCTTACAATTCAATCCTATCTATTATTTTTTTATTGCTGGTGGGGTAGGACTAAGTCCCTTGTACTGCGGCCGCTTCTGGCCTATTGTACCAGCCCC